AAAAACGAAGCTACGAAAAACTAAGCCATTCTAGACTTTTCTGTTACTTAGAAGTATTCATCAAATGAACATCGTCTCGACTGACAAGCAATTTGAAGCTTGGAGAAATCTATTCGTCAGCTGTCCTTTGCTACCGCCTCTGTGACGCTGCCATTAGTAGGAGTTCTAGTGAATATTTCATCATACTTCTATAAAATTCCTAAGTTATCTTACAATTTATTCATAATATAGACATCTATAATATTAAATGAAAACTTGCAACAAATATTACCAATCAATCACATTTTAATTTTTTTTTTTTGATAAAATAAATTTTGATGTTCTATATTCAATGAAATCGAAATTTATCTTTGTAAAAATTAACTCTTATGAGAACAGTCTACTTCTACAATATTCAATGATGTTTTTTCATTTAATATTAAATCAAAAAATTTTATTCACCTTTTTGAAGTACCTGAACAAGTTGATGACAAAATTCTTTATCAGCATGTGAATAACTAACCATAACACGTGTTTGATTAGTTATATTGATATCACTTTGAAGTGCCTTCTTTATTTCTGGTATAGCTGTTGTTCGAAAAGTTCGAGCTAAAATGATAAAACTAATAAAAACAAAAAGAACTATCATTGATTTGTTCTTTGTACCTGGATTATTTTCATCAAGATTCCATAAAATTCCATTAGCTGCCTTTAATATTGATGACATATGTTTAGAAACATATTGATCACCCAAAGTTTCTTCATGATCATTTGCTAAACTTTTAACAGTAATTAAAAATTTTGAATTTGACTTTAATTCTTCACTATATTCATCATGAAATGATATACTCCATAGAATATTAAATAAAGCTGTTAATGATAATTGATCGAGATCATTGTCATTTACTAATGCTCCACGAAATTTTATTAATAATTCACAAAAGAAATCTATTCGAGATTTAGCTTTCATATTCTTAATAGATGATTCATTTAAAACATATTTTAATATTTTATCATGTACACAAAGTTTAGTTAAAACAACAATTGGTTCACTAACATGAAATCCTTCATATCTATTATCTATTGATTGTCCACCACCAATAATTAATTGCATAAGTTGATCAAGAATTTGACGAAGATTATTTAAATCTTCTTGATTTTCTTTTGGTTCAGTTAATAATGATAAAGTCATGCAATAAAATAAACGTAATTCTCTATATAATTCAATATTATTATCTTTATTTGGTTGAAGTACTCGTTGTTGAAATTCTTTAAGAATATTTATGCCATTAGCATTATTTAATGTTTCAGCACCTTGATCATGCCGTGCTATATTATATAATATATGCATACATATCCGTTGAATATCAAGAGATAAATCTTGCATTGAAATCCATTTTAAAACATAATTTGGACATTTTGTTTCAATTATAGTTGGAACTAATATTGTCTTATCAGCTAATGTCCAAAAAACTATCAAAATAGAATTTATTATAGGAATATAAGTTTCATTTGAATTTTGTTTATTTTTATCAACATATTCAATAAGTAAACGCATGTTTGATACTAGATTTTGTAAATCATTTTTTTTAAATACAATACGTCCACTAGTTGAGTAAATATAATTAATAATTGTGCAGAGAATAAATATCAAATGTGAAAAAAGTTCATTAGGATACTTATCATTAAGAAAATCATTTATAAGAGGTAATGATAATAGATCAAATGAACGATAAAAAACAGTACGAGCATAAAGAGGATTATTTTCAAATATAGATGATAAATCAAGTTGTATTTCAATAGAAATTAAAGAATGAAATATTGTTTGAAATGAATTACTTGAAATAATATTTGGACATGTTTTTATTGAAAGTAATTCATTAATATAAGTTTTTAACGTTGCTTGTAATATATCAAATATTTCTGTAGGTTGAATAAGATTAGTAAGTTCTAGAATTTTACTTCGAATGGATTCAATATATTGACAAATATTGGAATCAATTTCATCATTATCTTGTGATTTTTTTAAAAGAATATTATGAAGATTTAATAGTAATGTTGGAAGATCATTTGGTAATTTAGATTCTTTGTTTACAGACGAAGATGGTTCTGATAATGAAATAACTAAATGAAAATAATGATTTTTTTCTTTTTGAATAAAATATCAATCGTTAGGATAATAAATAATTTTATCTTGATATTAACCCTTCACTTTCTGGCACTAATCCAGTAGAGTTGATGTTAAGTCAAATACAAGAACAAACGTATGCAGTTACTGATTATGACACTGACATGGTTAAGTTTGAGCAAAGTCATTTCACTGTCAAGATGTAGAATAGGTTATAACTGAGCGGGAGGTCAGAATTTCGACCCAAGAAATTTTTGAGCCGAGTCAAAACTCCTCTCATTAATCCTCATAAAAAGCTTTTTTTTCTATGAACGCTTGGCACACTTCATAGCTTTTGGTGGTATGCATTTGTATTAAAAAGTACTTATCAGCAGCACGAGTATGAGTGTGGGTGTGTGTAGGTGTGATTGTCGATGTGATCGGAAGTGAATGTGGGTACAAGTCTTATCTTCACTCACACCTCACCTGCTAAGAGCTACGCGATATACAACAAGATAAAGAGAAACAAAATACTAGCTAAAGCAACCAAACAAAATTAACATGATGTTGTTATTACATATTGAAACACACATTTTTCTTGTTCTTTATGTTTTGCTGTTGAACTTATTATTTATCTATCGTGTATTGTGTGTGTGTGTTTTTTAATGAAAAAACTAGAAGACTAATAAAAAAGTGAATTCATACGTAAGAATAAAATGAAAAATTGACAACATTTATAAAGAAAAATTGATTTGTTACAAGGGGAGGGGGGG